TTGATGATTTAAAACCATTGTTTATGCGAGTATCAATATGATGTTATAGATTTATGTGATTATTTAACTTTCTTGGGTTGATTCCTTGCCTTGATAGCATGCCTTACATGTCTTGTGACTTGTTTTGGCTCGTGGGCATGCTAGTTGATTTGCTATCCTTCGTAGATTTGAAGTCAAATATGATGATAAATATGTTGTGATAATTGTATTTTTGGGTTGATATGAGATGCTTATATAGGACCAGATATTACAATGGCTAACTTTAAATTAAATCATAATTGAATTACTTAGTGAGATTATTATCTTGAAATGTAAATTTGTTGTTTAATTTAGAATAAAATGTTACATGCTTGAACATCATGCATTACATTTCATTAGGACCAGAGTTGCACACCTACACATTATATATATTACATATGGATCAGAGTTAGCCCGCTTGCACAATATTGTAAATGAATCGAAGTGAACGCCTGTTAGAATATAGACCTTGTGAGTGAAAAAGAAAGTGAATATACACTAAACATGTGTATTGAATTGAATTGCAATCATTCTTAATCATTTGCTTAATTATTTTTGAATTTTGTGCTAAATACGTTTGTTAGTATTGTGAATTTTATTTGGTGGTTATTTAGCTTTATGTAAGAGTAAATTATTTTGTTTGATCATATTGCTTTTGATTTAGAGATAGTTGTTTGGCTGATCCTTAGTTCACTTGATCTCCTCTATCTCTATTTATTTATTTTTTAATATTCTATAACTCTTAAGTTGACAAGAGAGTGGTCGAATGACAAATACTCCTTATTTTCAACTGAAAAGTTGTGAATTTGAGTAATTACGGAACGAGAATAGTAGAAGCTTCTGAAAAGGGTAAGAATAGTAGAGCTCTTAAGTTTTAATCATATTCTTAGAGGGTTTATACTAGTGACATCAGATTTTGGAAAACTTTGCATCTGTTTTTGTACTTCTATGATAATAATCAATTCTTTGATGTTATGTATTTGAGTTGGTATCATCACTTTTCCAATTTTTAGATCGCGACATTCGTAAATCCAAACGAAAAAGTAGAATGAAAAGAAATATCAAATAATGTCATTTATCTTTAAATTTATACTCTATTATATCATATTAATTATTTTATTTTTTTGAGTTTTTTCATTGTTCAAAACAATTGAATTTTTTTAAGTTCAAGATGAATATTTGAATTGTTTTCCATATTTGCCATTTTCTTTTAATAAAGTTTGATATCTTTTAGGAGATAAATTGCATTATTTACAAAGTTATATTTATAATTTCACAAAAATAGAGCCGTAAATATAGGCTAGACCTGTTGGATCGGGAGTTGGAAACCTAAATAAGCCACAAAAGTGTAAAAATGATCAAAATAAGCCACTATTTTAGTTAGTAACTAAAATAAGCTTAGTGGAAAAAAAAAGTTCCACTTTATCTCATTTTTAAACGTTTTTCGTTAATGTCATAACGTGTATTTTTAATGTATAACGGAACTTTTTCTTACACTTTATAAAGTGTAAGTAAAAATTACACTTTATAAAGTGGAACTTTTTCTTCCACTTTATAAAGTGGGTTTTTTCTTCCACTTTATAAAGAGGAACTTTTTCTTCCACTTTATAAAGAGGAACTTTTTCTTCCACTTTATAAAGTGGAACTTTTTCTTTCACTTTATAAAGTGAAACTTTTTATTACAATTTATAAGAGGAATATTTTTCACGTTTCGAAAAAGCTTTTTCAGTGTTGTCATACAATTATGTTGATTTGACATGTCATAAAATGGAAAAAAATATTACACTATGTATTTTTATTTTTTTTAGTCTGAAAAAACTTCCAATCTCTATTTAAGGTCGTTTAAAATAATTGATATCACCTACAACATAAAATCTTCTATATTTTGTTCATTCAATCTAAAAAAAAAATGTCTTCTACGCCTAAAGTTAAAGTTTCAATTTATTGGGATGACGAAATTATACATGACGGAAATACCGTTTATTATAATTGTCCTTCCAAACACAATGCTAAATATCCAATTAATGTTCGATATCATAAATTCATTTCATCAATTTATAAAAGAATGGGTATAAATAGTACTGATTATAATTTGATTATAGTCGGAAAATACCCTACTTCATTTTTATCACAAGGACAAGTTAATTTTGGAGAGTAGATTATCTATAATGACGAATCGTTGACCGACTTTTTGAGGGTTCCAAATGACTACATAGATCAAATCAAGTTAACAATACTTGAAATCTATGTTAGGAAGGAGCCTAAGATTTAGTCAACAACGTTCTCATTTATCAGTCGATGTCAATTCCCAATTAGAAAATCGTAATAGCGTTGATGAATTTCCCATAACTCAATCTGCTGATTTTCCTAACATGACTCATTATCAAAATATTCTTACCGGCCGATATTATTTTGATTTAAATGAAACTATCAATGAAAGTGATCGGTAATGCTCAATAATTATATTTCAATCATTATTTGTTGTTTTTGTCAATTATTTATTAGTTTATATGATTTATTTTTCTTATTATTATATATTTTGTAGCGGTTTACCTCAGCAAGATAGGAATATTGCTTCAAGTTATGGATTAGATAATTATTTTGGTCAGTCATCACACTTTGAAATGACGGAAAATGTTGGGACATCCTCAAATTTTCATGTCTCGCCTACTTTTGGTGCAGATGATTTTCAGTATGTTCAACGTTTGATTTTTTTTATTTAAGTAAGTTAATTGCATGAGCGAAATATTTATACTTTTTTACATATATAGGGAAAATATTACACAAGATGAACCCATTGATCCTGTGAATATCGATGATCGTGACCTTTCTAATTATGGCTCACCTTCAGCTAGTGATAGTGATGATTTGCCTAATGTTGAGGAATCAGGAGATAATGTTCCATTTGAGGCATCATCTAGTGATGATGATGTTTCGACCCTCAATCGATCGCCAAGACCAATGTCCATGAGCCCGTTTCGTAATCATAAAATTTCTTATCTTGATCATCTCCCGGATGGTTCAGATATCTTTGGTGATACATATGATGAGTATACATCACAACGTACGTGGCATGAACCAGAAGATTTCATGAATGGTGCTATTTATATTGAAAAAGACATGTTAGTCAATTTAAAGAAGCAGTTGCAAAGAGCAGTTAAACTTCTACATTTGAAAGTAGCAAGAGAGTACTTTGTTATTAAATCGACAAAAAAATCATGGCGACTTGTTTGCAGGCGTGTAGAACAAGGATGTCGATTTAGGTTGACTTCTTTTATTGATAAACATACTAACATGTGGAAAGTTGGAAGATACATTGAATAACATACATGTGATATGGGTACATATTGCGAAGGACATTTCAACTTGGATGTTGAGATGATTGCTAACGTCCTCCGTGTTGATATAGAAAGAACACCAATGTACTATTTTATCCTTAGATGATTCTTATTTAATAAGAAAATATTCATTTTTATTTGATAATTAATATTATTATTACTTTTCAGGTTTCCCATCAAAGACTGTCAAACAGCCGTTCTTAAAGCATATGGCATTTTGATAAGTAGAAGAAAAGCCTATTTTGGTCGCAAGCGGGCTTTTGAAAAAGTCTATGGTACTTGGGAGAGTTCTTTTGCCGAGTTACCGAGGTTCATGGAAGCTTTGAAGCACTTCAATCCTGGAACAATTGTAGAATGGAAAACAGAGCGGCGTGTCGATGTCATTGAACATGTATTCAACTATGTGTTTTGGGATTTTAAACCATGCATTGATGGGTTTGTGCATTGTCGTCCTGTTATATCGATCGATGGAACACATGTCTATGGAAAATATGATATCAAGTTGTTGATTGCGATTACAATAGATGGTAACGGCTCTATATTACCTTTGGCATTTGCAATAGTAGCAAATGAGAGCATAGAGACATGGACTTTATTTTTGGATCATTTGCACTTGCACGTTGTCAAGGGTCGTAGAGGGATCACATTGATATCAGATAGGCATCATGGAATACTCTCATCCGTGTATTATTCTCCGAATTGGCAGGCTCCATTTGAGTTTCATCGTTTTTGTTTAGACATTTGAAGGCCAATTTTCAAAAAAAATTCAAAAATATCACTTTGAACAACCTATTATGGGCAGCTGCAAATCACTGTCAGGAGGAATTTTTTTTGGAAAAAATGGAAATGATCAAGGAGATTAATGCGGAAGCATATGTGTGGCTAATGAAAAACGATCTTGACAAATGGACATTGCACAGGGATGGAGGTAAGAGATGGGGCATGCTGACAACAAACAGTTCTGAATCATTCAATGGTCTTCTCAAATCAGCAAGGGGTCTGCCAGTTACTGCAATGGTAAGACTCACTTATAATCAAATTGTGAATCGATTTGTTACAAGATCAAAATTTGTTAATCATCTAGTACAGGAAAAGCAACAATAGATGCCTAAACCATTCAAGATTTTTGAGGATAATCGAAAAAAGTCACAACGTCACACACTGATCAACTATCACCAACAAAGAGAAAACATATTTGAGGTGCGAACACATATGCATCATGGTCGTGGTGGTAATAAGCACATTGTAAATGCATCACAAGGAAAATGTCAATGTGGTAAATGGCAATCATACTATATTCCGTGTTCTCATGCGATAAAGGGATTTGACCAAATTGGGTATCAAGCATGGGAGCATATGGCACCAGAATTCACTGTGCGTAGCTACAAAAATGCTTACTTTGGACAATTCAATCCACTCGGCGGTGAAAAGTATTGGCCTGATAGTCCCTTTCTTATGATAGCAAATAAAAATTATTTACGAAAAGTGGGCGTAAATAAAATCACCCGTATACAAAATGAAATGGATGTTCCTGCAAGTACACTCACTCGCAAGTGCTCAACGTGCAAACAAATAGGCCATGATAGGCGCAACTGTCATTCACGAACTCGAAACGCCTCATATGGTGGTAGTAGCTAGAGAAAGATGTTTAATTGTGTTAATTTATTCTTGTATCAATAATACTATACACCACAAAAAAAGATACATACACCAAAATCAAACTATATATGATTAGAATAATTTACTATACATCCTCGAAAAAAGATTCATACACAAATATAATAATATTATGTTCCACAACCCTTTTTTGAAATTCGTAAAACATCTCGCGGTCTAAGTCCCGTATATCCATCTTCATCTTCATTGTTCCTCTTCCTCTTTTTGGCCGGAAGATCCTTTATGTTCACATTCTTTACAATTCTTTTAACAAGTTTTTTTCTTCCGGGTGTTTGCGGCATATCATCCACTGGCATAATAAACGTAAATCTGGAGACGAGAGTGGTGATAAAAGTATAAATGATAGGAATATGCAATGTGGAGCAAAATAAAAGTCTACAAAATAACTAATATAAACCTGTGTAACATCGGGATCCTCATTAACTGTCGGAATAACATCCTCTATGATCGTCGTGGGATTCTCCTCCACTGTAGATGAAGGTCCCGTAGTATGAATCTAAAATTATTAAAACTTAATTTAATATAAAATCAAAGTTTTAATTATTAATATAAATATTTCAAAAAATAAATAAATAACATAAACCTGTGTAACATCGGGATCCTCATTAACTGTAGGAACAACATCCTCTATGATCGTCGTGGGACTCTCCTCCACTGTAGATGAAGGTCCCGTA